TCTCTGTGGGTAGTCTGTATCTAGTAAAAAATTTAAGCAACTCTTCTACAATCTTTTTAGCTGTGATATTACATAATGGAATGGCCTCTGGAAATCTAGTGGACACATCCATTATTGTTAACGATTACTGATTCCCATTTTTTGTTTTAGGTACGTTCTATGCAATCAATTAAGACCCTTGTAAAATGTTCCTCAAATGCAGGAATGGCTATTAAAAGTGCTGGTTTTATTACTGCCTGAAGTTTTCCAATTACCTGATACATAAGACATGTCTAGCAAAATTCAAGTTAATCCTGATGCAGTCCAGGCCAGTAAAAATGTTTTCGTATTTTGTCTTGAGTTTTTCTTACCCCTAAATGACCTCCTACTGGTAATTCATGTGCTACCTGCAACACCTCCTTTCTATAACTCACTGGTAATACAACTTGATGAACATCTGCCTGAATATGTGATGGTCTCCATTTTCTCATCAAAACATCATTTTTAAGACAGCAGCATTCAGGAATACAGTCAGATTCTTCTACTGTGTATGCTTTTCGATACAATTGCTTCAGTTTTTCATCTTTCTGTTGTTAATTTCTGTTGTTCAGTTAATTTTTCTGATATCCACTTTATCCTCCATCTGTTCTTATTTTTTTCTGAACCATTTGATCAAACATGCTCTCTGATAATTGTACTTCAACTTACTTATCTGTATTCTTTGATTTTTGTTCCTCCTGTTTCAACTGGGGGCTTTGTGACCTTGTTATCACAGTCAGGAAAAATCCCAGGATATACTTCCTGTCATACCTCAGTTGCCTGATTTTCCACTGGCTTTTCAACCACAGTAGGCAGCAATCCTACCTGTGATCCAGCTATATCGTTACCAAGGACAAATTGTATTCCTGGAGCTGAGAGTTTCTCCTAGTAGTCCTACCACCACTTCTCCACTTTTCACCAGATACTCCAACTTCACTCTACATAATGGGGCACTTCTCATCACCATGAATACCACATACTAGCACATTTTCTGGCAATAGTCTTTCTGAATTACACGTCTCCTCATCTTTCAACATCAAAGATTGACATGATCCTGTACCTCTTAATACTGTAATTTCTTTACCTGCTGCTCCTAACCTTTGCGAGTAAAACTTACCTTCGCAAGTGAATGGTTTAAAAAGATCTTGCACTTCCTTCTCAGCCAACCTCCCACCAGGTTGTACATTCTGGTGCAGCCTCCGTTGTGCTTTCCTTTACCACTTTAACAAAATTCACTGGCTTATCCTGTTTTCCTACATCTGAGTTCTCAGGGCTCTACCTAAACCACCAACACTGTGACTTCATGTGGCCTACTTTATTGCAATGAAAACATATCAGCTTTTTAACTTCTCTTTTCCCTTCATGGGTTTCCTTTTTACCTTGTGCTAAGCTCTTTATTATCTTCAATGAGATCTACTTTTTCCTTACCCTCTGAGGATTTCTCTTTTCCCCAGTTGCTATCCCTCATACTTTGTTTGGTCCTTTCAAACTCAATGTATGTTCGACTCCAGGGTCCCTCCTTAGATTTCTGAAACATTGTCTGTAAGCTTCTGGCACAAGCTCATATACACTTAAAATGGCCTTCTTCACGTCCTCATACTCCCCAGATACCTCCCCTGGTGATGATGCAATTACCTCACTTGTTCCACCTACTAACTTTGTTTGGATTAAAACCCACATGGTCATTGGCCACTTTGTTTGTTTAGCCACTTTCTCAAATGAGATGAGAAAGGCTTCTACATCCTTCTCGTCAAATTTAAGCAATGCTTGGATATATTTAAACAGATTTCCCACCAGGTCTTTGGCTACAATGGGTTTGCTCCATATCATTATCCTCCTCACTAAGCTTACCTTCTACCTTCACCTCCATCCTTCTACATCAAGTTTCCTGTCTAATTGCCAACTTCTGAAGTTCAGACTCTCTCTCTTTCTTCTGCTAGAGCCTTTCTCTCCTGTTCTTTTTGTTCTGCCAGAGTGATTCTTTCCTTTTCTCTTTCTTCTGCTTTTAACCATAATTCAAACTATTTCAGTTCAAGCTGCTTCATCTGCAATTGAATTCTAGCCATTTCCAAAGATTCCAATGGCATTTCCTGCAAATTTAAATATCAAGCTGTTGCCGTAATGATCTCTCCTTTTCTCGCAGACAAAGACAACCCCAACTCCAGCTTATCTGCTAATTCCAACAGCTTTGCCTTGCTCACCTTTTGTAAAACTCCCAAAGTAACTTCTTCCACCCCCAGAGAACTCCTAGTGACTGAAAGGGGCATTACTACACAAAGCACTGTTTGAACCAACCAAATTCACCACCTGAAACAAAAGACACTAACACCTACCACTTGCCACGTTTGAGTCCAAAAACCCTAAAGCCAAATTGGAATTATAGAATTATCCCGACAAGAGGCCCCAACCCATTATGGACCAGGCCAGACCCCCTCAAAATATTATAGAAGGTAGCCTAGACCCTAACTTTTCCTTATTTTAAAGGTGGATGTGAAGTGGGTGTTCCAGCTGTGATGTAACTGGTGAAACCACTTGGCTTAAAGCAAAACACAATTTATTAAAACACTACAGTTAAAACATGAACAAAAGAAAGTAGAATTTAGAATAACTTAACTATTGGAAAACTTAACCAAATACTCAATACAGTAACTTAACAAAATAGCTGTTCCAATATCGTAACATTGCATAAACACACCCCTTGGCAAAAAGGTAAATTCAAACACAGATCTCACAGGCAGGAGGGAACAACATCCAGAGAGATTCCAGAGAAAGTCTGCTAAGAATAATTTACTGAAGCTTGCAACCCTCTGCTACTCAAAACATTTTGTGACTGCCACAGCTAAAAAAATTCAGAAAAAACGCGAACTGGGGAACTGGCCATACCCCTTCTATTGTTAAACTGTTACTCCCTAGACTCTTCTGTACTTCTGCCTTTACAACCTCTCTTCAAAAAAACCAAGAACAAAATAAGCTTTTTAAAGTGACAGCATTGTCACATACTGAAGAAGTCTTTTACATGCCTTTGTTACCTCCACAGTTCACAATGTTCATTCTCTTCCACTTAAACTTAAACCCATCCTAAACCAGCAGCCAATATCCCAACTTGCACCAAGTCTTGCTCCTTCATTATCCCCGATGGAGCTGATTTACGCTGGGTTGAGCAATGCCTTGATTTTAAAATAGCCATCATTGTTTCCAAACCTTACCCATTTCCTTGCTTCCTCATATCTTTGTTACTTCCATCAGCAATACAACGTGATAAAATACCTGCCCAATTTACATATTCACAAATTTACCAGCACTATTACTGGCAGCCCCTTCAGCTGCTCAGGTCATAATAAAACTCTGGGAATCTGTCCATAAATTTCTCTGTCTCTCTTTCCTTCTTTTAAGAAACTGTTTATAATTTGAACAGTTTTAGGCCTTTTATCTAAGGAAAGATATATTAGCATTGGAGGCAGTCCAAAGAAGGTTCACAAGGTTGATCTGGGATAGGGAGACATTTTCATACGAAGAGAGCTGGAGTAGCTTGGGCTTGTACTCATTGCAGTTTAGAAGAATTAGAAAGGACTTGACAGGGTAGATGCAGACAAGTTGTTTCCCCTTGTGGGAATGTCAAGGAACTGAGTGCATAATCTTAGAGTTCGGGGTTGCCCATTTACGACGGAGATGAGAAAGATTTTATTCTCCCAGAGGGTGGTAAATCTATGGAATTTCTTGATGCAAGGCAATCAAGGATTTTGGAAATAAGGTAGGAAAGTGAATTGAAAGGTGGACTTGAAGGGTTGAGTGGGCTACTTCTGCTTCTATGTCTTAGTGTCTTATATTGGCTTGGACACTGGTGAGAATGCTGTCACTCTTCTTCGAAAAAAATAGTGGGATGCTTTACATTTACCTGAGAGGGAAGATGAGATCTTTAGGTAAAAATCTGATTGAAAGGCCCTCCTAGAACAGCCAGGAGTCTCCTGTATTTGGCATCAATCTCCAGGTAACTATTGAAAGCAATCTGCACAATTTGAAATATTATTTTAAGCAAATAAATATGCTGTAAACAGGTACTGAGATGGGTTGCACATACAGATCATGAATCATATAGGGTAAAAGCTATCTACGGTGTGTATTTGTAGGAGAAAGCATGTGTACACTTGAGGTTGATGGTTTACTTGACAAGGGGTGCTCAGCAACCACCCTTGCTTGTAAGTTGACTGCAGGGGACACGGCACTTCTGCAGGAAGCACTTGGCAGGTCTTGGGATCACGTACCCGAATGGGCATACAGGCGGCTCTTTCTGCCTGGTCTTGGGTCTCATTTGTTTTTACACCATAATCTGCGAAAATGAGGACCATGAGGAGAGAGCAGGCTACGGTTACCCATAGTAGCTTCTTCTCAGTACCCAGGGTGTGCATCCTGGGATATCATCTTTCATGGATGCCCATAAGTTTGTATTTGGCACAGGGCAAGGCAATGATTGAATGCGGGTGAGCATTTAGCTTTATCTGGCCCCAGAAAAAAAATCATGATTGGGTGATGCTTGAACAAGCCGACGTTTCTGTGGCATTACTCTACAATCAGCAAGGGTGGGGTGTGGTGAAGTGGACAAAAAGAAACTGCAGATGCTGGAAATCAGACAAAAAAAAACAGAAATTGCTGGGGGGAAAGATACACAGCCGGTCTATGGAGAGAAAGCAGAGTTGATCCTGATCATTTTTGCTTCCAATAGTGGGTTCCCTCACGATTTTCCTACTGGTGTCTGACACACAAAGCTCTGACAGAGTCACTCCCCTGCAGCACTGCACCAGCATTTAGTGCCGGAGTTCCACAACGAAGACTTGCACCAACAACCACAAGCACGGCAAAGCAAGGAAACTAACGACTACATCCCAGTTGACAGCCAGCACGGACTCCCCGGCAACAAGAAGCCGAGCTCATTGACGCCGCAACGGAGGAGGTGATCACGTGACCTATCCGTCACACCCATTCCCCCTCCCCCGGCGGTGATTTACAGATTGACCCGGATGTTGTTTCCGTGTGGCCGGTGATGGAGCAGTGCGGGTGAGGTCGGTGGGGCGAATGTTCGAGTGAGTGAACGAGATAAAGAGGGGAAGGGAAAAGCGCTCGGTCTCCATGGCACCCTGATTGCCGGCAGTTACCGGTCTGGTCCGGTGTAATCCAGTCCCAATGGGGCTCGCACTATTGGGTGGGCTCCTCCGGGAGTGAGGCGGAGGATGGGTTAAGGTCGTCTCCGACCTTTGGTGTTGCACCGCTACAGCCCCTGACCCTCACTACAAGAAGCTCAAGTCCGATTAAAGCAGGCCGTTTTTGTTTTGCCCAGGTGGTTTGACAGGTTCATTTCATCTTGTTAAAGTTCACTTCGTTTGATGTTCTGATCGCAGCAGTTGATTGATTTCACTGTCCGACTACTTATTTGATTAAGCCAGGCCACCACGAACAGTAAAATTGCCATAGTCCTACCAAACCATAGAAAAGAGACGACCGCTGGTGGTTTAACTTGAGGGTCACCACGCTTAAGGCAAAGGGCGAGCTGGAAAAGATGGGGTCTTCATGGTCACCTCAACTGGTGCGGGAACAGTAGTGATGAGTAGAGAAGTAGTCTCGAAACGAGTAGTGGACGTCTGGATCCAGGTTATTCTTTCCAACTTGAGCGAGCGCTAGGCAAGATCAACATTAGCAAGATCAGCATTATTTGAAGTTGGAGAGTCCATTCATCATAAAAGTGAATGGAGTCATCTTAGGCTTCACAGGTTAGGCATAACATTGTGTAATAAGTGTTCATATTCAAGATACTCTTGGTTGTTAATGCTGTCATGAAAATATACCGTGTTTTATATGAGGACATAATGTTTACCTTGAGCAGTCGATTTTTAATCTTTAGACTAATGGTAGCTAAATGAAATGTTTGTTAGTTGACTAATTTGGTGGTTTTCAGCTTGCCAGTCAGTTGGAAGTTATAAACCTAAAAAAAAATTTCTACCTGCTACAAAAGGAAATTTAAAAGATGATTTTTTTTTAATGCTGAACACAAAAAAAAGTCTGTCTTGATATTGAGATCTCCAGGTAGTTTTCAACCTAGAGAAATAATTGGCTTGTTTGGGAAAAGATGTGGTTAGTAAGTTGATACATATGCATGACGTGTGCCAACAGCTAGGCTTTTTCTTATAATTTGATGAATCTATGATATACTATGGAAAGACTTTTTAAATTCACTCACTGGATGTAGGCCACACTGGCTAGCATTTATTGCATATTTTCAGTTATCCTTGTTAAGGTGAAGGTGTGCTGCCTTCTTGAACTGCTGCAATCTATTTAGTGTAGATACATCCACAATGCCGTTAGGAAGGGTGTTTCTGGATTTTGACCCAGCAACAGTAAAGGATAATGATATATTTCCAGTTTGGTATGGTGTTATGTTGTGACAGTGTCCCTTTACGAAATGTCATGAGAGCATTGGCGAGTCACTTTGAGTCATTAGTCAGATTCTTAGAGTGCACAGCTTTGGAATAAAGCCCTCTGTTTGCTGCAATCCAACAATGAGTTTGTATGTTCTTTAGTTCTGACTAGAGCCTATTAACTCCTAGTACAGAATAGAGAGAACCTTGCAGGTGGTTGTGTACCCATGTATCTGCTGCCTTTGTTCTCCTTAATAATCGTCATTGAGAGTTTGGAACATGCTGTTTAACGAGCTTCAGTGAATTTCTGCAGTAAAACTTGTAGATTGTAGTACTAATGCGTACTGAGTGTCGGTGGTGGAGGGTGTGGATGTGGTGCCAGTGAAGGGGGCTGCTTTGGCCTGGTGGTGTCAAGCTCCTTGTGTGTTGTTGGAGCTGCATTCGTCCAGTTAAGTGGAGAGTATTCAGTTCTGCCCTTGACTTGTGCCTTGTAGATGGTGGACAGGATTTCTGACCTCTGACCTGCTGTTGTAGCCATAATATTTATATTGCTGGCCCAGTTCCGCTCTAGTCAATGGTAACTCCCCAAGATGGCAGTACAGAATTCAGTGATGATAATGCCATTGAATGTTGAAGAGTGGTGGTTAGATTCTCTGTTGTTGAAGATGAGCATTGTCTAGGCATATTTCTGGTGCAAATGTTACTTGCCACTTCTCAGCCCAACCTTGGAATTTGTCCACGTCCTGTTACGTTCAGTGGCTGAGGAGTTGCGAATGATGCTGAACATTGTGTAATCGTCAGCAAACATCCTCATTTCTGATCTTATGGTTGAGGGAAGCAGCTAAAGATGAATGGGCTTCAGACATTCCCCTAAAGAACTTTTGTGTGTAATGATTTTAGTACCTCTTTCCTTACAATTTTTAACCTGGTTGACTGTTGAATGATAGCCCTTCATGGGCCCATCGTTGTCCAATTTAGAAGGGCTGCACATATCTATCTAGTCATAGTCAGAAATTTATCTGCGATGGCTGCTTTCTCATTCTGACATTGTTACATCGGGCTACCAATGACCTATGCTAGGTCTGCTCTTATTGTCTTGCTGCCCCTCTGCAACATTCTGTGAAAGTACAATGTTAGGTTCCTGCGTGTACATTGGCAAAACACAGCTTCACCTCCTCTTTTGACCATCTGAAATTTTCATTTGAAATTTTCTGACTGGTATGATATCCAGTACTTGCTGAGTAGAATTTTTATTTTCAAACTGAATGTTGAAAAGACTTTAATTATTGTCTTCCACTCAGCCTGAAATAGCTGCAGAGAGGTCGTGTGCCATCACCACGTCCCCCTTTATTTGCTGGTGCATAGTCCACTGGCTGTGGCCAGTCAGCTCGGAATCAATCCTCAACTGAGGAGATTCTAAGCTCCTGGTTATTTTCTTTTCTGGCTATACTTTTTTTTTGTAAATTCAAAAATCACAAAGTTACAGTGTCACAAACACACTACATAGCATCAGTCACTATACATAAAAATAAGTTACCAAAGAGTGGAGACGTTGAGTACAGAACATCCTATAGAAAGACATCTGAATTTAAACAGTAAATCCAAAGTCCACATCAAGTTAGTGACTCAAACGCACCACGTGGCAAAGGTCACTATGCATCAAGGAATTTCGCCGAAGAGCAGAGACGTTGACATGGAACATCGTATAGAAACACATCTTATTTGCAACAGTAGTACAAAATATTACAAGTAAACATACATTCAAGTCCACAAAAGGTTACAGAGTCTCAAACACGATACGTGGCAAAGTTCCTATGCATCAAGGCAATCCGCCGAAGAGCAGAGACATTGACTTAGAACATCTTATAGAAACACATCTCATTTCAAAAAACAGTACAGAATGTTATAGATAAACGCACATTCTCCAGGGCTATCGGTTGGCCCGCACACGGGCTGGCAAGATACACAAAGGCATGATGCATACACAAAAGCATATTCTAAACAGGAAGGCAAAGTCCAGCACATGAAAGTTCAATCTTGGACCCGTACACTGAAACTCATGTCACAAAGGCTGGGTCCTGTTACCACATCACCCTTTCATTTTACCTGTACAACAGTACCACTGGCTGTAGTCAGCCAGCTCTGAGTCAATCCTCAATTGAGGAGATTATAATCTCCTGGTTATATTGGTCAGCTAAGTCTTTTCTGATTGGCCCAGGTTAATAACCTCAATCAAGAACCTTGTTAATGATGTCAACCTGGTCCCAGTCACTACACAACCCCAACTGCTGTCCTCCAGCCTCGGATTCCATTCCACCCCCTGGCTATTCTCTCAAGTTGAGTCATGCCATTTGTAACCGTAGTCACATTGGACTTCAACATGAGCTTCTAATAACTAAGACTGTCTGCTTTCCCCTCCATAATATTGCATGGCTTTGTGCCTACCTCGGCTCACTAGCTGCTGAAACTCTTAATTTGTACTTTTGTAATCTCTAGTCTTGACTATTCCATTGCATACGTGGCTGACCGCTTAACTTACATTCTTTGTAAACTTGAGTTAATCCAAAACACTGCCCATGTCTGAATGCTTATCAGAACCTGTTCTTGCTGACCTAAATTGTTCTCAGGTGGCTGAGCATTTTGGAGCTGTAAACAAGTTACAAAAACACAGAGGGGAAAAGAAGTGTGCAGAACTTCTCCCAGCCCAGAAACTGCCTGTATTCTGCAATCAGAAACTCCGTTTAAATCTGGGGAAAACCAGATTACCATTCCTGCAGCAGTCGTTTGTAAGCTGAAAGTTTTGAATTAATAAATCAGAGACATTTCTGAGTGAATCAGTGACTGTACTTTGTACAAACCAGTGGTAGCTTCCAGAGGAAGACAAGTGATCAGCAAGGGGTTGGCCAGCCAAAGAAGGATCATCTCAATCTTAGAACTGGGCAGCACAGACCACTACACTGACTTCTCAGTTTTTCTGTCCCTACCAGTAATCCCTGTTTGCTTGCTTGCCAGAGGAGGGGTGGAATGTGCGTGAATGCATAAGGGGATTAGAGTCTTACTTAGTGTTATATGTAAATGGTTTATCTCTGTTTACTTGTACTTACAGTTTTTACAATTCTCATTCAGTACAGAGACTTAGTCTGTGCTTTCCATCAACCTTGGTCTGAATGTCAGGCAAATTGGAGTACTGTGTGTACTGTAAAATCACATTTAATGTTAGGTATGACTCTGGGAATAGTAGAGCTCGATTTTAAGGTGCGTACCCCAGTGGGTCTTAACACAGCTTATTTAATCTGCTCTCACAATGGAAGATCAGAGTACAAGAAATATTGATGTATGGTTTTGTTTGCTATGTGCAGTAAATCTTTTGATAACAGTCCAGTTTGTTGTCATAAAGGGTTTCTGGTAGATGGATTTAGAGAGTGGCGGAGTTGCTGCACAGACAGAGAAGCTTGGGAGGGTATTTGAGGGTGCAGGTGCAATGTTTTTTTTTGAAAATAGTGTTGCAGGTTGACAGGGTGGGAAGAAGGCATTTGGCACGCTTGCCTGCATTGGTGAGAACATTGGTATAGGAGTTGGGATGTAATGTTGTAGCTGGACAGGACTTTGGTGAGGCCAATTTTGGAATACTGTGTTCATTTCTGGTTGCCCCTCTATGGAAAAGATGTTAA